CCCCGTCTGTCACCCATTGACTCCTCAATCTACATTTTCACTGACTACCTGTCTTGTATGCATACCAGCCCAGCCGCTGGCTTCTTTACTTTTCATTCCATCCAGGAAGAGCGCACACCAACTGCTGAAACTTCCTTAGCCCGACGAAGGGTTTTTGAACCCAAAAGCTTGCTTAATAATTATTTTCCAACAATTTGGGTTGGTCTAATAAAAGATATCAGATTCACCCAAGGAACCTTGTCTGCCTATGTCCTTAGACCAACACGGCTACAGCCTACACCCCTGTAACTATAAGATTATGCACAATTCTAAAAAATTATTTCTCTCTCATGTCTTTAAATTAACTCTTAGCTGAAGGATATTCTTAGGAACCATACCAGGGTGGAATCTTGGCTCCCTTAAAATCAGGGGGCTTCTGTCATTTCTTCAGTGAGGCCAAGCTGGATTTACAGGAAGTAAATAAAGTGTCTCTGCATTTCTGGCACATGTTCAGACCTTTATAGGGGGATTGCTTTCCATTTCATACAGTTTATTACATCAAATAGGAATGAGAGAGACTGTAGTCACTGAGACTAAGAGATGGAAACAACATCAACACAAGCAATATTTCATTTGGGAGTATATTTTCCAGTATTGTCTGGATTAAATCTTTGAGATTAGGGTTCTGAAGCAACTGCTGTTAGGTAGGATTGTGAAATGGAGCAAGATTATGTGGAGAAGCACTCTAGTTCCACAAAAGTTTGACAGTATTAGAAAAAATGTCCTTTTGTGACCCTTTGAAGTCAAAGGCAAAACTTTCAGGGACCCAAATTTTACTTGCTTGATGACAGTTTCATGTGTGTGGAAAATTCAAGTAAATGAAAGAACATTTGATGGTCAGCTTTTCAATATGACCTCTAAATGAGACCTTTCATTTTGTATTGATTTAGAGCAGGTCATATTGAAAATCTGAACTTTAGGAATAAGTAAATGGGACAACTCCTGGAAAAAATGGCATGACTGCTGAGAAAGGTCTCTAGTTACTTGTAGCAATGTTGTTCTTTCTGACCTTTGTACCATTAATTCTCCGAATGCCTGAAATCGGTTATCTTGGAATCTTATCTGACAATACATGGGGCTTTCCTTTGGACTTTCTGCTGTTGTAATGTATTATTATGTAGCATGTATTGTTTTGGCATGAGATGTGATACTATGTAATATAATGTGATGTAAACCAAGTGAAGTAAAGAATAAACCTGATTTGAATTGAAAGTAAATCTTTTCTAGTCTAGGTCTGAAATAGGCTTGTTGAATGAAGATGAACTCTCTTGTGGGGAGGAAGCAAACAAAATAGCCAGTCTTACTGAACATGTTCAATATCTATATATTAATGATGTCAGCATATAGGTTTATCTCAAACTGGCAGTAGAAATTTGAATGTTGAAATAATAGCAACACTGCATATAGGATGTCAGCTTAAGCAGCGCAGTCAAACAGAGAATGTTGGGAATCAATGAAAAATTTCAATAGCTCCAAAAATCATTGCCAGGTGTTTTATTAAATGAATGTAATGTTCCTTCAACATATTTGTATTGCAGGAGTTGAGGCTGAAAATAAGATAATCTTCTCAAGACTGTTTTGGGATTGTTCATTTTATGCCAAATATTAATTTATTAGCTACTTTTCCCTTTTTCGGTAAGTATTTTGTCCTTGCATAGATCATAATCTTCTCCAATTGCTAAATCATCCCTGAATACGTGTTTTAATCCTTGATCTAACACACAATATTCAATGTGGGACAGAAACCATGTTTGTTAGTTCTGACTGCATTGGCAGATAGCATGAGGATACTTTTGATTCTAGCATTACAGCTTTAGAATCAGTGTTCCAGCACTGCCATTCATAATTCATGAAGATTCACAACTTCAAAATGTTCTCCATTTGTTTAAAAGGAACTTTTTATGAAATTACTTTGCTACAGCAGTTTTGGGGAGGGATGTGAAATTTGTTTTAGGCACAGTGAGTAAATGCATCTGTGTGGGCCCCTCTAGATATTCAGGCAGAAGCATGATAGGATCTGATATGCAATCCACACAATTGTGCCTCCTGCAATACCACACATTCATGGCAGGAGGCATGATTGTGGGATCCAGCATCATATCCTATCAAGCCTTATTAAGAGTCCTGCAGCTGATTGAATTTGCAGCTGTGGCAGTGCCCCATGGCTTCCAGGACAAAGAGTCCCACAGCTGAGGACTCGTGGTCCTGGCAGTGCCCCATGGCTACCAAAACTGAAATTCCCACAGCTTGCAGGGTACTCTATCCACCCCACAGCTCTTCCAGGTTGCAGAGACTCTTCAGCTGTGGGACTTCTGGCTCCAGTGCACATGATGCTGATCTAAAGTAATTGTGCAAATAACCAGTTGTGCATTACATGTAATGTGTAAGAGGGGAGAGGCTGTGACTTCTGGGGTGTATGCACAAACTAAGTCAATATTTAGATGTTTGCAGATTCCTTCATAACAAACCCGAGAACATTTTATGCAAGTCATACTGCATTTTATATGTATCTGTCATTCTTTAAAGGTATGGATAAATGTCTTGTTTGCAGTAAGTCTGTTGTGTGATCCATAACACTTCTCACAGATAAGTATCTTAAGGAGCAAGATAATAATAAATCATATCAATGGTAATATTATTCAATCTGTTCAATACTTAATATTTCAAACAACTATGTAAGTGTGTTTCTTAAACTGGACATATTATACAATTAAAAATAAGTTTTCTAAAACTTTAAATTTTCAGGACTTTTGACACAACATCTGAATATAATACCTCATTCCTTCCAAAACAGGATGAATGTTCCCCCCTAGATTACCAATTTATGTTTAAAATATATTTTGACTTGTATTGAAAAGGATGGTTTTCCTTTTAATATATCAGTGTTGGTTGTAGCCGTGTTGGTATAAGGACATAGGTCTAATAAAAGATATCATATTTACCCAAGGAAACTTGTCTGTCAGTGTTACATTGTTATGTGTACCTGATAGGTTCCCAAATGTATGGTCAAAATTAGGACCAGTCATTAAAGGCAAGGTACGTCCACTGATTCTCTCCCATTCACCATCATCTTTGAATGCTTGAGTCCAATAGCAAAAGCCATCTTCAAAACTGCAGTTAATTTTCTCATTATCTGTGAATAAGGTTAGCAGATAAGTAGATAAGTAAAATGTTTTTCATCAGGTATGTCTCATTCAGCTTTACTAAGCAAAAACAGGAGCATTAATGCTGAAAAGTGCCTGGGAAGACTAGAGCACAGATATTTTGGATTCACTCCTCTCAACAGCAACATTAGAGACAAGACGGTGAATATGTTCACTTTATAGTTTGATGCTGCAGTACTGAGAACTGCAACTTCAAGGACTTTAGTCCCCTTGATTAAGAACTTTGTTGATTCTTCACAGCTCAACAAGTTCTCCACGTGCCAAGGCAGGAAGCAGGCTCCTGATGCAGTCAATGGAGCTTTGAAGAATTACAAAGGTTCTCCCACATTGAACTAGTTACAGGATCAAGGTCATGCAAATGCTTTCCTCATCTCAATTTTCTCTCTTCATCAAGCTGAAAATATAGATTCATCACACTTTGTGAATGAGAAATGAAAAAGAATACTTACTGCTTAGCTCACTTGTATTAAATATGCTGTACGTTGTATTAAAGCCATTGTAATTTTCAGAATAGTCTGTAGCAAACTCTGCTGTGGCTTCATTAGAAAAGATGCGAACAACACCAGGATTAGTTCCCCGTAGCGATGCTAAGAATAAATTTTAAAAATTTTATTACTGAAAGTAATTCTGAGCAAATTACAATGTTCAATTCTGTTCCAAAAAGGGAGAAAGCATAACTAATTATTTCAGTGCTGAAGTAAATCTCCCTTCACTCTAGTAGTGGCTCTGTCTCTCATTCCCACAAAACCAAAAACAGTATTTGGTAGGTAGCTAAAATCCAGTCACTTTTGTAGTTAAGCTTAGCAGTCAGACACGCACACACCCATCTCACTTAAACTTCAACATGTATGCCAGCTACTGAAAAACAGCAACATCCTACCATATTTATGTGAATATAATCTGAGGGTTATCTTTCAAAAACACTTATTTGAGCAGCACCAGTTATACACATGTGCAGGTAATATAAAGTATACTCCATCAAGTAGATTGTTTTGTTTGTTTGTTTTTACTGTAGAGCAAAGGGAGTGAAGAGATGTCTGCAGGATAGAATAGCTGAAGATTCATCAGCCTGGGAAACCTGCAGTGGAGGGAGTGGCACAGGTGCTAACTGTACTTGACCACTGGAAACAAAATGTAAGTGGCTCCAAGAAAATCACGAGTTCAACTGATTTAAGGTAGGTTGTAAACTATGCTTTACAACATGGAAAACATTCTGGAAGACAAGACCCTAGAGATGAAACCTGCGTTTGTGAATGGCAGCAGATAAAAAAAAATCATTTGCCTCATCCTTCATGAAAGGAAGCAGGCAGACTAAAAACTTTTCGTATAAGTGGCCAGGAGGATTTTTTTTTAAGTCTACAAAGCTGTCCCGTGATGGATTCTATGTGAGCTGACATCCAAGAGGGTATCAAGGAAAGCCTGAACTACAGACTGGTCAACCTCACCTCAGTCCCTGGAAAAATCAGGGAGCAGGTCCTCAGGCAATATATTTCTAAGCACTTGGATGAGAAGGTGAATAAGAATAGTTCGCATTGATTCACCAAGGGCAAGTCATGCCTAACCAACTTGATTGCCTTCTATGATGAGAAGACTGACTTTGTGAACACAGGAAGAGCAGTAGATATAATATACCTTGACTTTAGCAAGGCTTTTCATACTTTCCTCCACAACATTCTCACAAGCAAGCTAAAGAAGTATGGGTTGGATGGATGGACTGTAAGGTGGATAGAAACCTGGCTGGATTGTTGGGCTCAGAGGGTAGTAATAAATGGCTTGATGTCTAGTTGGCAGTGGGTATCAAGTGGGTTGTCCCAGGTTTGCTCCTGGAGCTGGTTTTGTTCAATATCTCCAATCTGGATGGGATGGAGTGCATCCTCAACAAGTTTGCAGATGGCACCAGACTTGTGGGATTAGTAGATATACTGAAGGGCTAGAATTTAGAGAGACCTAGAGAGATTGGACCAAAAGAAATCTAATGAGGTTTAATAATGACAAGTGCAAAGTCCAGTACTTAGGATGGCACAAGCCCAGGCATAAGGACAGAATGGGGACCAACTAGCTAAGCAGCCTTTCTGTAGAAAAGGACCAGGTGTTACAGTGGACAGTAAGCTGAACACGATCCAACAGTGTTCCCTTGTTGCCAAGAAGGCCAACGGCATACTGGGCTGCGTTGCTAGAAGAATTGCCAGCAGATTGAGGGAAATCATTCTTGCCCTCTATTCAGCACTGGTGAGGCCACATCTGGAGAACTGTGTCCAGTTTTGCCACCCCCCTCGCCACTACAGAAAGGATGTAGACAAATTGATGAGAGTCCAGCAGAGGGGAACAAAAATGGTTAGGGGGCTGGAGCACATGACTCATGAGAAGACACTGAGGGAACTGGGCTTATTTAGTCTGGAGAAGAGAAGACAGAGGGGATTTTATAGCAGCCTTCAACTCCTGAAAGGGTGGAGATAGACTGGTTTCAGTGGTGGCAGATGACAGAACAAGGAGCAATGGTCTCAAGTTGCAGCAAGGGAAGTTTAGGTTAGATATTAGGAAGAAGTTTCTCACTAGGAGGGTAGTAAAATACTGGAACAGGTTACCCATGGAGGTGTTGGAATCTTCATCCTTGGAGGTTTTTAAGACCCAGCTAGACAAAGCCTTGGGTGGGATGATATATTTGTGGATGGTCCTGCTTTGAGCAGACAGTTGGACTAGATGACCTCCTGATGGCCCTTCCAACCCTAATTTCTGTGATACTAAATATTTTATAAAGACAAGACTGAGATGGTCAGCATTTCAGGACACTTGACAATATTATTATATCCACTTGACATAGCCATTAATCATAGTATTAAAATGGTGTCCGTCAAAAACGGGAAAAATGGATGCACAGGTCATGTGCATGAATATATGAAGAATGGCAAAATGGAACTGAAACTTATGCAGAAGTATGCACTTGGGCTCATGGTGCCTGGAAATCTGTCAACAAAAACAATATTAAAGCAAATCTCTAATGAACTACACATGCCAAATTCATTTCAGAAACAGATGAAAAACTAAATCTATATCCAAATGACAACTGTATATTGGAAACAGATGGAGAAAGTAGTACAGCTGTGGATGTTGGGTATGTTTTCAGTGACAGCAAGGATACAGAATTCAGTGGATTTCAATGACATTTTGGGTTCTATAATTTTTGAAAATTGTATTCAACTATACCCATTTCTTAAGTAACTCTAATAATCTCACGTAAATTCTGATGACAGATTACCTCAGCATTTATTTTTTCAAATAACAGTGCTTTTAAAGAGGCATTAATTATCTGACAGGCATGTTATATCCACGAAAACAAATATAATAATTAAAACAATTATGCTTTTATTATATGACAGCAAATGTTTATATACAGATGCATCCACTTCATGTTTGTGTCACTAAATATCTCAAGTTATGCTTTTTTTAATACTTGTACATATTGCATAATCCTGTAACAGAACTTTTTTGTGATTTTATTACCTGTTTTTCTCCCAAAGGGTGCATCCATATGAGCCCGCACATGCCTCTGTACGTCTGACCTGCTGTGTCTCAAAGAGGTTTGAGATGCGGCAAGAGGCACACTGGGAACAAAAAATGTTCCCCACACTGCATATTTGCAGCGCAGGCTCAAAATTTGGTAACTGAATATCCAGGTATCAAAAAAAGAAAGAAAAAAAAGTGGGGCAGGGCATGGTCTAGGACCATGCCCTGAGGCAATCAAAGGCTCAGGTTCACCAAAAAGATGCTCTAGTAGCTAGCCAGAGCATCTCTATGCCTGCCCCTTGCCCCGATGCTGCAGCACACTGCCTGCCCATGCAGGGTAAACCGCGATGCAGGCTGCAGTGACATGGACCTGGGCTCCATTCCAGGTATGTAGTGGGTGGGGAGGGAGGGAGGGTGTGGGTCCCCTGCCCACCCCTTGTGGGGCCCACATGCCCCCCCCCAGTACAGCTCAAAGCTCACCCACAGTAACAGCAGCCTTCAGGGCATTGGGGGCCTCCTGGCACAGGCCTATTGCATAGTGTGAGGCAGGGAGGCTCAGTCCCAGCTGCCTGGTATCCAGTGCACATTCACTAAGTTCCAGGCTGCTCAGGCTGTCACCTAGGGCCCCACACCACTCACGGGGACCGCCAGTCATGCTGGGCCAGGTCCTGCATGCTGGTTCCATGTGTAGGACCCAGGCCAGTATGACAGGCAGTCCTCACAAGTGGTGCAGAGCCCTGCATGACAGCCTGAGCAGCCCTGAGCTGCCTGAAGGTGCATGGCCCCAGGCCAGGCCCACATGACATGGCACAGGCAGCACCGAGTGCCAGGCAGCAGGGGACAAGCTGCACTGCCCCACGCCCCATGGTGGTGGGAGGGGAGCTGTGTCAGGAGGCCCTGAATGCCCCAATGGCTGCTGCTGTTCTGGGTGAGCTGTGCACCATGCAGGGGGGAGCATGTGGGCCATGCAGGGGGGCAGCCCATGTGCTGTGTTGGGGGGGGGCTGTGCCCTGGAAGGGGGCAGGGGATCCACCCCTCCTGAGCATCCCCCTCATACAGTCCCCTCACAATCCCCCTACACTTCTTCTGACCCCCCCACCTGCAAACCCCACATCTCCCCATCACATGCCCAGCTGCCAGACACCTGCTGGCAGAAGCTGTCACTGCAGGAGCAGCTGTTCTCACTTCCTAGTTAGTGAAGGGGTTGGGGGAAGTTCCAACTAATCTATGATAAGAAAATCAAAATCAGACATCAAAACATATGACTATTTAGAATTTATGTTATTATGATAAACAAAGACACTGGTAGGCTTCCAAATTGCTTTAAAATTGTAAATATATCAATAAAACATTGCCCAACTAGTATGTATGTATGTGGCCAGGAGGACATGCTTTGACAGTTCAAAGCAGGCCACCACTTGACAACATCTTTCGGTCAATAGCTGCCCAGATGGCAGGGCGGCAGAATACATGGCAGTAGCGCTGCAAAGGCCAACTGTATAGCCACATCCCCCTGGCAGCTGGCCCAGGGGTGCAGATGTCTCTGCTGTGGCTATGCAGTCCCCATACGGGTCTGGTAGGTGTGCAGCCTTGGGGCCACATGCTGTCACAGGTGCACAGCAGGTCACAGCCAGGCAGCAGCCCCCACTGCCAGACTGCTGCAGTGGCTAAATGGTGCAGGGAGCTCTCGGTTAGGGCTGCTTCAGCAGTCCAGCTGGCACAAGAGGTAGTGCCCCAGATACTAAGTGGCTGGGCCCCAGAAGCTCCC